ACACACACACACACAGCACATAATGCAGAAGTTTAAACACACACACAGCACATCACTTAAGCACATAATGCCGAGGCTTGAACGTGCATGAGATTCACATTGACTGTACATGACCGATAATTGTGATGATGAAAACTGAAACGGGTTTACGTCTGCAGTTTGTGAATTTGTATACATGGTTGATTATGCTGTTTCTACTACCATTCCTATGTGGAAAATTTGAATTGCTGTGGGATACTTGAGATATTTTTCATTTTGGTACAAATGTATGCAGGAACCATGCCTGCTGCCAATGGTGAACGGAAGCTCTCTGATGGGTTCCCCTACAGTTGTGGATCTCGCCAGGAAGATTTGCTTTCCGTTATTATTCAACATTGTTCTCAACCTTCTCCTTTGAAACAATGCTGATCATCCAAAAATGAAAAGTCTTGTTCTGGAGGAAAGCCACAGTTCAAAATATTCGGCTAGATGTGTTACTGGACTGGGTTACGCACATGATATTGTCCTGCTGAGGTAATTCAGAGAGTGGGCCCTGCTTCTTGATGACTTCCATATACAACACAGCTACGAAATCCGGTCTTTTCTTTAACATAAGGGAAGCAAGATGTGAGAAACCCATCCAGCTTAGCTGCTCTCCAAATGGGACTCGGAAGTGAAGCGCCACAGATAGCTCATTAACTTAAGTGTCTGTGCGCCATAATTTCTAGCGTTGCACCAACTATTCAGGGCCAAATTTAAGGCACTATGACATTGGTATTAGCAATATCGGAAACTCCTCCAGCGCTTGCAGACTGAACTAAACGAAATAATTGGATTTAAAGATCTTTTACCAAGAAGAGCAGTGTGGCCTCCGGCCCGGTCGAAGCACCTCTGACCATATAGTTGCCCTGTGCCAGGTTGTTAGAAATCGTGGCAGCAGGCCCAGCCGGTGTACATGTGTTTTGTGGACCTAGAGAAAGCGTATGACCGGATCCCACGCAACAGTCTGTAGACATGCCTTGGTGCATACAGGATTGATGGCCAGCTGCTAAGGGCCATCCAATCACTGCATTCTGATAGCAGGTGCTGTGTCAGAGTTAATGGCATTAAGTCGAAACCATTCAGCGTTCGCAGTGGTCTCCACCAAGGCTGCGTCCTGTCCCCTATCCTGTTTGTGTTGTATACGGATAGAACAGTCAGGAGCTGCCAACGATGAGGGTATCAGTGTAGGAGATGTGAAGTCGAGAAGGTTGCTGTTTGCAGCGACCTTGTTTTGTTAGCATCTTCTGAAACTGATCTCCAGTGCTCCTTAGAAAGGTTCGCAGCCGAGTGCAACGTGACCGGCATGCGTGTGAGCGCATCTAAATGAAGAGCCTAGTGCTTTCTCGTTCTGCTGCCAGTTGCTCTCTTCAGATTAACGGAGAGGCAGTAGAACAGGTAGGGAAGTTCAAGTACTCCGAAATTGTATTTACTGGTGATGGAAAATTGGAGGAAGAGATCGACCGGCGAATTTCAGTAGCCAGTGGCGTTCTGCGTGAATTAGCCCAACCCATTGTGACTAAAGCAGAGCTCAGTCTGAAAACTAAG